TCTCCTAGATGAATGATGAATGCATATAGTCGAAAGCTGACCACAGCGGTTGTCGTGCCATTATCTATAAACTCTGGAAGCTCCAGAGTTGTGTCTAAAACTTGAGGCCGATTTGTTTTCTCCAAGTGCTCAAACCTTTGGATCTGAATGCAAACCAGGTTCACTCCCGGGAGTAGCCCATAGGTGCTCCCCCTGTGCGCCCACTGAGAAATGGCTTGCTGTAGTGTGGAGAGGCCATCTGGTGGGTCAGGCAAGAAAAGAATCAAACCCCCTCTATCCTCTACGCTGATTCTTTCCACGGGTGCTGTGATTTGAACCCTCGCTTCCCAAACATCTGCTGAAAGCACATGGGATCTCTGAATGATATGTGCTAGAAACTGGGATGCATCTTCTTGCCTGGGTCTGAATCGCCATCCCGTCAGCAGAGGACGTAGCTGTCGCAGCCTACGAACATCCACACTAGAAGAACGACCCCCTACTGCGTCAATTTCCGTCAATATTTGTCTCAGATATGGATCAGAAAGAATACCCTCTGATGCAAGCGAGGCAAGGATATGCACTACTGTGTGTGCATAGCACAGTTGATGCGGATTATGATAGGCCAGAGACCAGGCTGTGACGGGCACTGACGAAGGTCTCCCCTCTGCTGGTGCGTCTCGCTGGGAGCTTGCTGGTGCCTGATGAGACCGAATCCTACTGGTGGAGGAAGCCTCCTGGGAGGAAGCCTCCCTTCCTCTCACCTGGCTAATTGGAGGATCTGCACTGAAGAGATCTGGCAGTTCCATAGGCTTGGCACAAGCTGCACTCATGGCGTATGTCTGAAGCAGAACCACACATTGCTCTGCATGGCGTACTGGAGCATCTACCACAATGCGACAATACCTACATTCTTCTTTTTTGTGCAGGAGGCGCTTATGTGTTCGCATGTTGGCAAGAATGGATGCCGAGGATTGTGCCCAGAAAGCGGGATGAGCTTTCTGAATGTGCTGTTTCACTCCTTTGTGGCCAACAATGTATTGCCCACAGAGACTGCAGTTCGTTAATAGATGCTGAGTGACATGTCTCTTTTTTAGTAGAAGATCAGGATCCTTCTTAAGTTGTTCCTGCACGCTAGACTGATAGATCATAGCTATGCTTTCTGAGCTTGTACAGGATTTGGCTCGTTCTTTCAGCTCGTGCAGCTGAGGGCAAATGCCTGACTCCACATGTCTGCGAAGTTGATGCATTGTGCGCAACTGCCTGTTGCATGCCGCACATTGCGGAAGTCCTTTGCAGCTATGCACAGTGACCTGAAATTTTGGGCCTAGCTGATTCGCACGCTGTCCTCCATGCTTCACCAGAGTATGTTGCTGAAGACCCTTAGCGCTGGAAAATTTCCGATCGCACAGAGAGCACGGTACCTCCTGGTCTGCCTCGATCAGGTCCAAATGCATGCTCTGAAGCTCCTGTTGCAGCGCAACAATCCTACCTCTAAGTCCCAGATGCCACTGTATGTTCTGATCCGGGTTGGACTTCTGACAGGCATCTAGTGCGTCTTGATAGTTTTTCATCTGGCTGATCAAAACTGCTTGAGGAGTCTGAACCTTATATTGCTCGAACAGAGTCTTCGTGTCAATATGGCTGTAGTGCTGATGTTGCTTAAAGATGGATCTTAGCATCCTCGAGTATTTACTCTGAAGCTTCTGAAGACCTGATGAGGTGATGCCAGTGGCCACAAGCCCATGCAAGAGTGAGGATTCCACATAGACCCTCCAGATCTCCAACTTCTTTGAAGCCTCCAAGGCCTTAGTGGAGCACAGGATGTGTCGAAGTAGCTCAAACTTGCCTTGAGCTTGGGCGATCCTATAGTCAACAGTCTGGTCTTTGTAGGATCCATAGCTGAGCTGCACCCCTAGATATGTTAGTTTGTGATGAATCGGAATCTTATGTCCTGAGGGAAGGACGATGTGCAACTGCTTCTCTTTGCGCATCGTGTGCTTCTTGCGAAAGATGGACTGCTGAGTGCCCTGAACCATTAGCAAGGCTTTGGACTTCGTTGGATTGACTTCCAGCCCCACGTCCTCAAGAGACTGAAAGAGAGCCTCTATTCTGAGCAGGACTTTCTGAAGTTCAGGAAAGCTCGAGAAGGTTTCCTGGAGCAGGAAATCGTCTGCAAAGACTGTTAGGATGTCCCTAGCTTGCTTGCTATCTGGGCCCCATTTCTGCTCCATTCTGCTCATCTAGAAGTGTCAGCGCAGACCACAATGCCGGGGCTAGCTTGCAACCTTGTTTGATTCCTGAAGAAGTGGGAACTTGAATCTCTAGTCCACTTGTGCCCATGTTGTAGGAGGTCTCACTGTGTAGTTGAACTACCAGTTCTTTCGTAACAGGGTCTGTTCCCAGGCGATCCAAGGCAGCTAGCAGCTCATGTCTATTAACAGAATCAAAAGCTTTGCTCAGATCAACCGAAATAGTAAGTGCCCCTGACAGCTGAGCCTGCCTGGCTCCGCGTTGGGACTTG